GCTGCAGCTGGTGCCCAAGTTCTGCGATTACTGGTACGAGCAGGGGCTGCGGGAAGGAGCCTCCTCCCTGGACAGTGGCACCATCAGCCTCCAGCTCTCTGACTCCTTCAGCCTCTTTGAGCTCATCGAGCAGTGTGACATGCAGCTGGACTGACCCCCACCCACCCCACTCCCCTGGGACCCCCTGGGACAGGAACCAGCTGGTGGGTGACCACCAGGCATCAGGGGCTGGGAAAACCAGCATTGCCCCAGCAATGCTGTGGTGGGACACCCATGGTGGGGACCTTCCTCCCTCCCATCACCCAAGGACAGCTTCACCAGCCGGTCCTGGCATGGAGACGTGGCTTTTCCCCTCCGTCAGCTTCTCACACGTGGTTTTTGTGGCTCGTGGTCATTTACAGATTTATTTTCTAGAGTTTTCTAAGTTTAAATATATCTATGTATGTATGGAAAGGTGCTTCCTGCTTGATGACATCTGCTCCCACTGTCGGTCTGAGACCTTCACCCCTCCATTCTCCAAAGCCACGGGGGTCCTTGGTCAGCCTTGTCCCAGCAAAGTCCTTGCTGGCAGTGGGCACCTCCCCATGAGATCTGTGTGAAGGAGGTGACACCCCACCCATGAGGGGATCCGTTTATTTGTTTCCATGTGTTACAGCTGCAAACATGACGCGCGAGCAAAGCGTGTTGGGGACAGCTTGGCCTTGGCTGAACAAAAATGAGTCTTCTTTCCTTGGCACGTGTCTCCTCACTGGCCCAGAGTTACTCACTTGAGATGTTCTGGAAAAATAAGGCAGTGACCACACCACGAAGCACCCGGAGCTCAGCTCTGAGGTGCAGAGGTGGTGGTATCTCAGGGAGGAACATGGTCACCAGAGCTGGGGTGTCCCCTCCCTGGGCTGGAAGCAGCCCCACCCCCTCCTTTCAGGAGTGAGGGGAGAGGATGAGCCCGGCCACCCATGTTGGACCCTGGGCAAGGGGAGGTGGCAGCCTCCTTACCTGCCGATTGACGTGGATGCTGCTGGGCCCGAAGGTGGTGGTCCCATAGCTTGTCACGAAATAGTGAGCAGAGGGCTGTGCCGGGGGCTCCTCCAGCTGCCTGGGCACTGTGGGGATGGGGAGACACCATCAGCACCTCAGCTCCCTCAAACCCGCAGCCCTCCTGCCCCTGAGCACGGCTGCTGCAAGCCCAGGACTCACCTTTGGGCAGGAGCAGCTCTGCGCCAAAGCGGTGCCCACAGGTCCCACAGGTTTTAACGTCTTCCTTCGTCCTGCAGAGGAAAAAACCCCAAGGAGCAGGAGAAGGAGCAGAAGCAGGAGCAGGAGCAGGAGTTGCCCTCAGCACTATCCATGGAAGATGATGCCCAGGCGATGGAAGAGGCTGCCTCTTTCCACCCTGACCTGAGGTCCCACTGTCGGTGGGATGGCTGCTGCCTTCCCAGGTGCCTGAGCACCTTTAGCTCTTCATGAAATGGGGGACATGTGGGCACCTGGCCAGAGTGGACATGATGTCCCTGAGCTCCAGAGTCAACATTTTCACCTTTCTTTCCATGCTTGAATTTCCCAGACACGTAACTGCTACCAGCACGTGGGACACGGGCTGCTATGGTCACGAGAAGGACAACATAGTGCCCGTCAAGTTTCACAACTAATTTCAGGTGGCTTTTAGAAGCTGACCAGCCCCACCAGCATTGCAGTAGCAACCACCTGTCTCCAGCCCTGGGTTTGGAGGGGAGCAGTGTGTACGTACATGGTGTTTGTGCCATCCATGTCCGGCCAGATGAGCTCTGCAGGACAGCCGGCCGTTCGGCACGGGGTCTTCACGCACACGTGCAGCCCCGGCCACTCCTCAGCAAGCTTCTGGATGATGAACACAACTGCCATGAGGAAGTCCCAGGTGAACTGGAAACCTTCCAGACAAAAGGAGAACATCTCATTTACTGACAGTCACCCAACTGCAGCGGCCCAGGAGATGCTCTGGCGGTGCACACATTGCTTCCAGCCCACCAGACCACGGCCAGAGTGGTTGGACCAGCTCAATGTCCCAAATTAACCAAGGCTCAGCACTCTTCAAACGGAAGTTAAAGATACGTTGGAAGAGCTCCCCAACTCAGATGGCCCTTTTGATTTTTCACTTGGAGACCCAGCCTGAGGACTGTGTTCTGCTGGGACCTTGTGGGGAGGGATGACACATTTACTCCATGATAAGACTGGAAACTTGACTTTCTCCTTTCATGTGCTACCTTGAGAGGAATCCTGACCAGGCATGGAGAAAGAGGAAATCTTTAACTGAACTGCTGGTGGACCCTGGCCAGACTAGGACACATGGCCAAGGCTTCTGGGACACTCTTCCCAGAGGGGTGGAGGTGGCAAAGGGGCAGCTAAGGAGAGACTTGTGGTTGGGAGTCATGAAATAAGGATCAGGGATCCTTACCTGTCCTTCCTGCCGGCTTTCTGCACCGGAGCTCCAGGAAGCTGTAGGCCCTCTGGTTATTCTCTTTGATCAGCAGAGGTTTGCCATTGCATATGAGCAGGCAGGTCTCCTTGGCCACCCAGTGTGTGGAGTAGAAGGAGCAAGCTTTCACCAGGAACCTGCAAGGAGATTGCCCATGGCTCTCACCATCCTCCTGCCTGCTTATCGCTGGGAGAAAGCGTGGTACCAGGTGGTCTTAAAAAGTATGAACTCAATTTCAGTAGAAACAGAGGTGGACACCAAATGAGGACCTTGCCCTACTGAAAGCTCAAGCCGCAGGAGCAGCCTTTTAAACCAAGAGCTGCCCCCAGAGTTGGCCATCAAATAAAATGCTGGACACAAGCTGAGAACCCCACAAGGACAGGAAACCTTCCTGAAACTCAACAGCCACAGCACTTCTACCCCACCCCCAGTAGAAACTGGACCATCCTCAGGTGGGACTGGGAGACCTCTGACTGCCTGGGTGGGCACAGACTAGCCAAAGACCACCCCAGGTGAAAGATGAACCAGAAGGATCATGGTCCTTGCTCATCTCCAGGCAGTGAACATCAAAATGGTTCATCCAGGGCTCCACATGGCTGTGGCAGAGCTGAGAAGCCACCTTGGTCTCCTGAGTCCCAGTCTCATGCCTCAGCTGGTATGGTCTCAACACTGTGCTGAGCCAGCCCCAAGCCCTGCAGCCTCCTCGAGGGCTGGAAACCACTGCTTACCTCTGGAAGAAACCCTCAGGTATTTCGGGTGAGAAGTAGGCACGGATGTGGAGGTCCTCAGGGTGATCTCCTCCCCAGACCTCAGAGACCTCTTCAGTCTGGTTCAGATAGGTTGGGAACAGGTACCAGGACTCGCCTTGGCCCCCCGTTATCTCCCACGGCTTCCCAGGCACAAACTCACTGGCCTGTGGGTTGAGCGCTTCAGTGTGCCTCACCTCCAGGCAGAGCTCAAAGTGCTCCAGGAGGCTGAAGAGCTTCCCTCTCCCTCTCCCTCTGCGGGGCCTGTGCCCCATGATTTCCTCAAAGACATCCCGCATCCCTTCCGAGCAGAGCTGGTGCTTCACCAAGGCACGCACGGCCCGGTGACACAGCATTGCCTTGGACTTGAAGGTCCATACCCAGTTGGACCTGTCTCTGATGGTGGCATGTTCCCCGATCAGTGTGTCCACAGAGATGCTCTCGAGCTGCTGGACTAGGCGGTACCTCACAAGGAGCTGAGTGGGAAGAGAACAAGAGAAGGGGTGGCAATGAGAGGAGCCCACCAAAGCTGCAGAGCTTGGGCCCTGCAGAGAAGACATTCTTGATCCCCAGGCTCACCTTGAACATAGTTATTAGGAAGGTGGGCTGGAGAAAAACAGTGCTCTCCAGGTGCTTGATTTCCTCGTACCACACGACAAGCCCGATGCGGTGGAGGTACCTCAGGATGTCCTGGAGAAGCTCTCTGCCCAGGCTGGCCAGGTGCTTGCACTGGGAGAGTTTGCTGAGCAGGTACTGGAGGTCCATCATGCCTAGAGGGAGGCAGGGGAGCTCAGCACACATCTCAGACACCAGCATTCCAAGGCAGATGCTTTACAGAACCAACAAACACCAGCAGCTCCCAACGTCACCCATCCCATCTCTGGGACCAGCGCAATGGTCAGTGGCTGTGGCCCAAAATCCTTTGCCCACCCTCAAGCTGTCCCAGTGCCACCCTGCAGCTCCCATGGTCTTGCCTTGCCTCAGTGATGCCAACACCCTGCCAGGACCTCAATGGGGCATCTGAAAAATAAGGCTGACACTGGGTTGTGTCATCACTTGAGAGAGCAGGTTTGGTTCCAGCCAGAAAACCTCAGAGTCCCAGTTAAACCTCAGAGTCCCAGTTAAACCTCAGGTTGTCACCAAGTCACGCAGCGAGACAGGTAACAAAACCTGGCTTAGCTCCACAGAAGAAAAGCATTTACTCCTCATCCTCTCACCCTATGGTGGCCAGGGGAGCCAGAGATGACACTGGGTGCTGGTGGTGGTCATACCTGCTTAGGTACGTAGGTGAGGAGCTGGAGCTGCCTGTGTGTCCTGAGTCACAGGAGACATGGAGAGGGGTAAGGAGGGGTAGGGGCCATGGAATACAGTTATCAGGACGTAGGTTTGGAAACCACACAGGAGCAGGAAAGCTGTGGAGCTCCTTCCTGCAAGATTATGTAATTGCTTATGCAGGACAGAGAGGAGAACGAACGACGTTACTGGGATGAAACAGAGCAGAGAACGTGGCCAGCTCAGGGTACCTCCAGCTGGTAGGTGTTGGCAGAGCCTCCTGGTGAAGACACACTTGGCCTTTTCCTACACTCATTACACTCTCTTGTCATGACAGAGCTGGGTGGTGGCAATTAATGCTCCAGCAATAACACCACAAGGTCTTCAGCAGCAATCCCACCACCACACAAGTGGGACCAGGAGGTGCAGCAAGCACCAGAAAGCCCATTCCAGCCACAGGACAGCAGGTCCTCCCAGGAAGGTGCAGCAGGGGTGATGGACCACTCACCATGGTCTGCCACCTCCTCGCTCTGTGCGATATCTACGATGGCAGCTTCCACCTGCCTGTAGACGGGCGGCAGCACGCGGACGACCTCGGGGAAGAGCTCCTCATTCTTCACATGCTCCAGAATAGTGGCCTCGAGCTTTTTGATATCGTGGTGATCCGTGCAGTTGACAGCAACTAAGTTTAAGATCTGGAAGAGAGAAAGCACAGATTTGCCAAAAGCACATCCAGAGGTGTCTTCTGGCCTGTGAGGTAAAGGAGGGACCTAATGCCCAGGAGGTCACCAAGGACACACTGCTGCCTCAGCTTCAGAGGACACTTACTTCACACCTTTGCTCTGCACCTGGGGGTGGTAAATGCCCCCTCACCTCCTCCCCAGGCACTTGCTACAAGCCACTGGAGGAGATGCCCGTAATTGAGCAGGGACAAGGACCCAGCAGGTCACAGCCAGGGGTTACCACGTCCACCCCAGCTGCAGCAGCAGCCTGATGCACGAGCACCAGGTCACTGTCACCAGGAGGACACCAGGCTGCCAAAGACAACAGGGTTACCACAGACACCAAGGAACCGCGATGATCTCAGCCCTACGGTTAATGTGCAGCTCTCCATCTCCTTCAGCCTCTCCCACTGGTCCACGTAGAACTCAGGCTCCTCACTGCCCTCCAGGTTGTTGATGAAGTGAGCGAGGTTGCTCTTTCTCTCTGCCAGTATGGCTGAGATCTTGGCCATGATGTCACACCTCTTCTCCTCTACCTCCTGCTCCCAGCAGCAGTCCACATGGGTTCCCACGGGAAGCACCACCGAGTTTGGGACTCGCATGAACAGGTTGTTGATCCAGAAACCAACTAGCTCCTTGAAAGTCTCTTCGTTAGTTTGGTACCTGAGGAGGGAGAGAAAGAAAATCCCAAATTCACATCTAACCCTCCAGATCTCCAGCCCACTTCCACCAGCACAGGCCTGACCACACACCCTGTGCTGTCCCAGGGGCTTGCTGGAGAAGAGCTCAGATCTCCTGAGCTATCATGGGCCTTGTCCAAGCTCACCCTTAAGTTCCCCATCCTTAAGCAAAGCCAGTTAAAGCTGTGGGGTGTAAGCAGAGTCTGGCTCAGCTGTGGATGGGAACATCCCTCTGTACCACAAAGCCCAAGCCTGATGCTCCCACCAGAAGAGGGGAACCTTTAAAAAGGGGAACAAGGAAGACCCAGGGA